TAAGATGTAATTGAAGCAACCAATATAACGATGCAAAACGTTACTTTTTATTGCCGCATTATACGATTCAGTGCGGAGAAATCGAGATTCAAAATTTGGAAAACAATGTTATTGTTAGATTATGGTATTGCATGTGAGGAAAAAAACGTGTGGGTCCGGCAATTCGTTTACCATCTTACCCCCCACGAGCTCCCTCCCCCCCCCTTGCCGAATTTGGCGGGTGAATTTGATGTGACGCACCACAATTATTTGGCCTTGACCAGCAAAATTGTTTAATAATCCATAATTATTTCTAATACCGGAAAACAAATGTTCTATTAATCGGTCTGAAATAAAAAAAATAAATTAAATTAAAAATCTCCTTCTGAACTGAAGAGTCGTGGCTCGTTGACAGGGCGTGCGCAGGACCGATGAACGGGTACACAGGCGCGTTGGCAGAGCGGCCAACGGGCGCAAGCCTGCGAGCCCCGCTGCCGTGTTTCGCACGCACGCACGCTGCGCCACCTCAAAGAAGCAGGTGCTGCGCGAGCTGATCGGACCCAGGCCGGAGTGCGACCTGCGCCCGGCCCGACCACATCCGCTGGGTGGTGACCGTGCCCGCCATCTGGCGCCAGCCCGCCAAGCAGTTCATCCGGGAGGCCGCCTACCAGGTACGACGCACCGCACCGCACCGCGCTTCGCAATCGGGAGGGCCGGGTTCGGTTCCCGGGTCGCCCGTCCTGACCGCGGTTTTCGTAGTTTCCCTCGGTGATAGTTCCAAAAGTCTACGATCACCTTTCACCTATATCCTATCACCTCCTAATCCAATAATAATAATAATAATAATAATAATAATAATAATAATAATAATAATTCACAGTGGGGACGAAGTTGCTCGCGTCCGTAATCCATGAAAAACAAAAGAAATGTTATTGAGCTTACAACTATTCATTTTAAAATCGAGACACATTTTTTGTATACAGATTAGTAAATGTAATTGCGTGAATCGCAAAAAGGCAACTCATACTAGCTATTGCGATATCGGTAACGTTTCACTGTTCCAAACAGTGTAATGCAATGTTTAATATTAAAATGTACATACAACATTTTCTAGAGTAATGATACATTTCTCGTGGAACTCGCTAATTCCCTAGATTTACGAACTTAATAACAAAATTTAATCATTTTCGGCATGTAAAAATTTGACAAGAGACAACACAAGAAAGATCCGAAAGCAGACAAAAAGGATACGTATTTCTTCAAAATGAAGAGAACGTAAATGAATCTTCTTCTCGACATTACCCAGTTCAATTAAATAACAACTGAACAAGCAACGTTTCACGTTTCGATTCATTTCGTTTCGGATTAATTTGCCTTTAAGATTCATAAAAAGCAGTTCACCCGATTTTATCCCATTTTATTTTATATTTCCTCTCGGTTGAATACGATTCCACTGAAATGGATCCAATTCTGTTTCTGCTTGAATCGATTGTATTCGACTGAAACTTTACCACACATGTCGGGAAATTAGTTGGGAGCTTAGAGCTCTTACTAGTTGGGTCAGAGACCCAATAGAGAAGATCCTGGATGGAGAAAATTCTGCACGTGGATATGTACATCGGCTCTGGATTCACTTTCCAGTACGGGAGGAACTTCACCGTCTTCTAGGATTTAACACGCCCCACACTGGATTAATGACTAGTAGAAGATGTGACTAGTATCATTAATAATCCCGCACAAGGAATAACTCATTCGCACAGGTGGACTGGATTTCATTCGTTTCATTTCGATTCCATTAGTTCGAATCCGACTTCGATCGTGTGCGTCTAATTCCATTCTATTGCACCTGTCAGTTCAAACAGATTCCAATCCAATCGATTTGATCTCTTTTCATTCGTGTGTATCCCATTCTGACGTGTGTAATTCCAATCGATTCGATTTCATCCCATTCCATTTCATTCGATTTCATTCCGACGCATTCTATCGCGCGTGCATCGCAGGCGGGCATTTGCGACCCGGCCCGTCCGGAGGGGCTGCTGATCGCGCTGGAGCCCGAAGCGGCGTCCATCTGCTGCCGGAAGCTGCGCCTCAACCAGCTGGTGCCCGAGCCGCGGCCCGCGCTGCCTCCGCCGCCGCCCCCGCTGCGCCTCGGCGGCCTGGGCGGCCTGTGCGGCGACGCGTCCCGCGAGGCCGCGGGGCTGGTGCTGCAGGACAGCCCGTCAGGTGAGCCGGAACGCAAGGAAAGAATCGCGAGTACACGTAGGCTTCCGCGGCTCGAGTTCATGACTTCTGGGCTGTCCGGGTGACTTCCAGATCACTGGAAAACAATAGAAGGGGGCAGACACTTCCAGCGTCTATTATGAACCGTGTACACGATTTACGCTTTCAAGCCGCAGCTCGTGCTACCAATGTAATTTCATTCTCACGGGAACGGTGCTACTGCGGAGAGACTTCCCTTGCGCGCATCCCCTCAATAATCGATGTGATTCTTTCCTGACTTCTTGGCTGACCGGGTGACGCCGCGTTTTTGGTTGAGAGGGCCGACGATTCGCTTGTCATATCACAAGTTGGGTCACTACCTTGAAGAAGCCTGCGATATGGCAGGCGAATCGTCGGCCTCTCAGGCAACGACGCGACGACACCCGGACAACCTAGAAATCAGGAAAGAATCGCATCGACTGGTGAGGGGATGCGCGCCAGGGAAGTCTCTCAGTGGCACCTTTCCGGTGGGAATGAAATTATGTTGGTAGCACGAGCTGCGGCTTGAAAGCGTAAATTGTGTACACAGTCCATAATAGATGCTGGAAGTGGTGTCCCATTTTTTGGTTTTCCAGTGATCTGGTTGCTACCAACATAAATGAAGTGTTTAATAGGACGTTCTGATTCGTCTCACTGCGGAGAGACTTATTATGTTAAGCTTCATTACATGAGTACATTTTTTTGAAAACTAGCGACGTTAGGAGTGAGTTTTCAAATTTGTACGAATGCAATAAAGTAACATTTTAAACGAGTTGCATACACATTTTTTTGTATATCAGCATTATAAATTTATAAGAGAATCAAACCTAATTTTGCGAGTCAACTATCTTGTGACGTGTTGTTTATTTGATATGTGTGGGAGAAAACGATGGTCGGGTATATCGTTTACCTCTACGTCCTCATGGATTTTCTCGCTGCAATTGTCTGGATGAGTGATGATGAAATCATTTGTGCCGTTAAACCTAATACATCATCATTTGTCCCGTAAATTGCCCAATTTTGAACGATTTCTTCCCACAGAAAAGGTTGTTTATAACGCTGGTATACAAAAAATAATTTTTGAAGCAATTATTGACAGTTTATTCCTTAATTTTCTTACTACAACGTTTCGAATCCTCTGTCTTTGAATTCTTCTTCAGGTCCAAAGGCATAGGATTTGAAACGTCGTAGTAAGAAAATTGGAGAAGAATAAAGAGTAATAATTATTAAGCACAGACATAAAATTATTTAGGGGATGAATGAAGCTTTTTACATAACAAATCCGAAGACAAGTTGGAAAGTAATGCCACAAGAACATTCATTCCTTTTATTCATTACGTATATGTAGTAATACACGTTATTTTTTACATAATTATACTTGCCCAAACTTTTGGGTAGATGCTATTGCAGATGTGATTTACACGTCGCCCTTTGGTATACTTACAAGGGACCTTTCAACAAGTACGTGTCGATATCTAGCCTGATTTTTTTGCTGGATAGATATTCATTATTTATATGTGCTATGAAAAAATAGATGAAGTCCAATGTGATGCCAGTCTGCCCGCGGCGTGCACGTATACTTAACATTGTCTGATAACCTTCCATTATTTTTGATAACGACACATCAACGTATGATAGTTCACATGAATGCATTTGTAGAACAACCAGGTTAACAGTCATTTTGATTATTATCTCTGCTGGTGTCACCTTATGAATTTGCTCGAAAACAACAGTACTTGTAACTATCATTGTTTCGTTCGACAAGACAGCTTTAAGCGACTGGGATGCCGGTGTTAGGTTGCTTTAATTTATAATCAGTGAGCCAATCATCGCCTTAGGGGCCGTTCAAGGCCTCTGGCCGAATGCACCGCGTATTATATGTTGTCGATGAGTGCTTACTTTTTGAGCCGAAATGGCAGAATTTTTTAAATTAAATTAAAATACAATATAAATGTAACAAAAAATGGAAATGCTCGAAATCTATTTTTTCGAAATCGTAAATTTTTATTATTTTTTTAATTAATCGGTCCAACTATAATCGATTTAAATGAGTTTATTTATCGTATAAAATCTATTGTCGTACTTATTATGATTAATCTCTACTAAATAACTGATGTACTCTACTAAACGACTTTAAAAAATTCACAGATTTAGTATACTAGGATACAGTTTTCCCCAAAAAGAACTACCTTTTCCGCCCTGTGAACTGTCAGACAACCGATAAGTAGAGATCCTAGCGAGCAGTGACAGTACTATGTGAGTCGTTCCCTGCAGCAAGTGTTGTCCATGGCGTCAGCGAAAACAGCGTGGCCAAAATTGACCAACGTCTTGTTTTTTTTTTCAGTAATTTCTAGTGTATAACGGCAGCTCATTATTTTCCCACACATATAAATAGTAAATATCGTGCAATAGAAAAAAAACAGTTCTTATTTCGACCTGAATCTCTTGAAAGATGCCTTGTTAGCCTTAAAAAGAGCAACTTCTGACTTTTGATCTCCTGGACGCGATTATCCAATCGGAAGCTTTGTTACGACTTAATGTTTGGTATTGGAGCTCCCGATTGGATAACCGTGTCCAGCTGATCTAACGATGAAGTCATTCCTCTTAAATCAAAGAATACGATTTTCTGCTAAAGCAAAATACTACAAGCAAACCTTTTATTTTCATGTACTTTTTTTCGCGTATCTTTTCATCATTTTCATTCCCAAAGTTAATGTTTTTTTAGTTGGGAAATACAAGATTGTTACAATTGAGTAGGGAAACTTACATTTGCTTTCATTTTATGGAGAGTGCTTATCTCATGTTTCTTACTTATGTAATACTTTCTAATTACTTTGTCTACTCTTCCACATCTGTCCATTCTATCTCGTGATACTTTTGTTAGCGAATTCAACACTTTTCTGTTTGAATTTCGCAGTTCTTCTGCATTATGGACATCCATTCGAACGGCTACACGTTCAAAAAGGTGTGTAAAAAAAGTAGCACGAAATACTAACGATGCGGAGATTTCATCTCCCATGGTTCAGAGCACATGGAGTCATCCTAAGAACCTTTGTAAATTTATGACGGCTACTAATATCAGCAACAAAGGACTTAGGTTGTTTCTTTTTGCTCTTGCACCTGAGAATTGTGCTTCTTTTCAGTAATGCTATTAACACAGTATTATTATGTTGATGCTTTGTAATTATCTTGTTCTCATCGTAGAATAGCACGCATTATGTAGAATGTAATCAATGTCTGAATAGTAGTTATACTTTACTTTCAATAACTCCGGTGGAAAATGGTGCGCTGTTAATATAGTGCCAAATAAATAACGGCAACATCTTCCTGTCTTCATAGTTTGTAGCACTAATTTAGAACTTTTTGCGTTTGCTTTTTATTTTATTGTGAATTTCTCAATGTATGATAAAATTTACTTTCTGCACGCTTCCTTTGTATCTGATTCTCCTATCGACTTGAACTTTGTAATTTCAATTAATTAAACCTTTCTTAGCAATGTATAATGTTCTGCAACTGACTCCAACGCACATTCAGACTGAATGTTTTAACTGATGAATGCGAAGGGCAGTTCAATTTGCACGTAATGCGCACTGCTTGCACTATCACACATAAAGCATAATATTGTATTGGCATGTGCACGAGGACGTAACTTGGTTATTTTTCATCTGGGGAAACAACTCTGGAGCGAATAATTTTTTGTTTGTTTGTTTGTTATTAAGACACTTATGCCTTAGCGATTTCGGTCACCGGATCGGTAGGTAAATTCTTGATTTCAAAACAAAAGAGATTAAGTATAGCGCTCCGTTCCAATTCGTGGCCAGGGCATATGCCCCTTCTACTTCCTCCTAGTTACGTCCCTGCATGTGCCTTGTATTTGAGTAGAAAGTGTACGATACACATACTTAAAGTGATACGATTCTTTGCATAGACACACAACAGAATTAATTGTTGGAGTTTATTCCTAATTTCATATTAAATTTGCAGGAATTCAACAAAATATATCACCATTTCACTGTCGTACAAGGAACTTATATACCCACGTACCTTTTCAGCAGTGTGCATTTTCTGGAGACGTTTTAAAACATAAAATAAGTAAATGTCTCATAATTAATAAGGGCGCACTAACATCCACTCTCCGGGCGGGATTCGGACCCGCGACCCCTCAGGCATGAGGGAGTTAGGGCTCTTCAAACTGAGCGGTCTAGACTATCCGGGCCTGCTTTCTTTTGTCACATTCTGCTTAGCCTATTTTAAAACGCTTCTTTAATTTAATTGAGAAAAAATAGTAAAAAATGGAAAAAGAAATTAGAACTCGAGGAAATCGTTATTACAATTTCATAAGTCGCCGTCTGGTAGTCTGATATTTCATAAAATTTTCAATTCATTTTTACCATAGGGCTCTACGAAATAAATCAAATGACGCTCACACTGAAATAGGATCTACTGAAATTCACATTTATTATTTCATGTATTTAACAATACGTTATTTTATTAATCACTAACTAAACACAACATTTGAATTATATGTTCACCAAATACTTTGACTTAAAACTACTTAAAATTTTACTTAAAAGTTTCTCTAGCTCAAACGTTGTAATTTTTGTTAGTTGTTGAAATAAAATAACTCAAATAGTTTCTTAATTCAACTTTAACATTTTCATTTTTTTCGGACGGCAGGGGCTACGATTGAGCATTGCCCCGGGCCCAAAAGTGTCTAGCTCCGGCACTGGCGGCGCCCACGGAGCGCGACCGAGTTATAGCGATGTTTCTCGTTCCTTCGCCCCGCCCCCACCCCCGTCACACGAGGCCATCACTTTCCCTTTTCTCATCTCTCAAATTTCGACAATTTTACACTCGAGTAGTTATTAAGCTCATCTTTATTTCTTTTCATTTGTCCTCGACATGTAGTGTATTTTTACTCATAATAATTTTAATTTTTCTGAATTCCCTTCTTATTCTGTCTGTAATTTCTCAATTCCCATTCTCTTCTCTTCTCTCCTATGAATCTCTTGATTTGTCTTCTCTGTTTTCTATAACCATTTCTCTTTGCCACTACCTCCTGAATACATTCATTATTTCCTTAGTATGTTTTCGTGGTAACTATCAGGAATTTGACTTACTTTTTATTTTTTCTTAAAATATTATTGTAATTCAGTATGAACGTTAGTCTACTCTGTAACATTCCCTTCTCTCTCTCTCTCTCTCTCTCTCTCTCTCTCTCTCTCTCTCTCTCTCTCCCTCTCTCACTTTGCGCTTTTCTTCATTTGCCTTGCTTCTCTATTCTCCATCCCCTACCTCAATTGTATGTCTCTCCGTATTCCACTCTCTTTCTCTTCCTACGCATTTCTCTTCCACACTTTCTTTCCTCCGTCTTTCTCACCATCCATCCA